TCTGATGTACTCATCATATTCATCAACCAGCTCTTGGAGCCTGTCTCGGATTCGCTCTCCTGTGAGGTAGAATTGAAGTCTTTGCTCTTCTCGGTAGGTGCTGTTAAAAGGACCACGAGGTGCAAATTCGACACGGTTGAGATCTTCGACGTGAGAAATCATTTTGAGTAGCTGTCTCCTCCAATTGCTTAATCCAACTCTCAGGCGACTTATTTGCTGCCAGAGCTTGGCGGTAGGAAGGCCTTCTTCGTCTGGCAAAGTACAAGGTGGGACAAGACCTGTATCCTCATTGACAGTGTCTGAACCAGACGAAGTTGACACGCTCTGCTGAAAGTGATGGGCACCAAATGGACTGGACATGGATTTTTCGCCATCACCGAGAGTTTCCATCTCATTGGGGAGACTCGCTGAGGTTTCCACAGCGGGCTTCGTGAAGGCAATGCGATCGATTCGTCGTCCTAATTGCTCCAGCTTTTCTCGGACGAGCTCGATTTGTCTATCTCGTTCGACGTCTGCAAAGATGGTCGGTAACATCATCGGATGAAACACTGGGGTATCTGAGTTCTTCAGTCGACTAGTAATGATATCGGCCAAGGTCATACGGTCGTCGTACATGTCGGGCTTCTTGAGATCACATCCCAATAGGACAGCGTTTGTGGTAAGAGTACTAGGGATAAAGGTTACAGATAAAGCCATGTCTCCTGGCCACGATGCTGTTGTCCTGCAGAGATATACTATCTTTGATCAGCCACCCAAGACCAGCTATCTCGTCATTCTGGTGGGCACGTACCCAGTGACTTTTGCTTGGAATCATTCAAGTTCCATTGAAAGCTCATTTGAGAGAACATGCAGCTCGTGTTACGGTTTATCATCCTCACAATACCGCTGTGCACGAGAAAGCGTGGCTGAATTTTTGAGAAGATTTGGTATGACCAGGGTAATGTCGAAAGAGCAGATGGGTCATATTGCCAAGGAAATTCCGCCCGGCCCCCTAATATCAGATCGAGCCTGCTGGATTCGACACATCGTCGGTCCGACCGATCCTGTCGATTAACGACGTTAGTCCCGCCTGGCTATCATATTAGAGTGGGATTGTGATTGCGAAGTCTCACCGTCTCTAACCAGTGTTTCCATTCCGCACATGTCTTTATCGTCCACGACTCTGCATAGTCAAGAGCCTTCTTAATGTTAGAACGTGAAATGTATTCTCATCAGACTTCGGCCCATGGTGAATGCATCCCACATTATTTTGGCGTTCGATTGAGACCAGTTGACTTTCTGTCGGTTCAAAGTCAAGCACCTCTAGATCTTCCTCGAATATCGTCGGATCACGGCATAGCCAGGACATGGCGGCTGGTAGGTTGGATTGGACGAAGCTTCAGGCGCTGAATCAAACATAAGCGAGCTTTCGGACATTTCATGAGAAGCAGACTGATGTTACAGATCATGAGAGACATTAAGTAGAAGGCGTATGTGAGGTAGGTCGCAGAGGTCAGATTCAACCTCGACCCCTACCTTAAGTTAAGCAGCAAAAAACTTCTTGGACTGCAGTCCATCATGCCAAGTTCGAGTACCTCAGATAGAGCTAAGCTCACCGTCAGCATCATCTACTTCCATTAGTCGATGATTTTTTCGAAGGTTTACCCCGCTCGAATGGCGCCTTGCCTTGGATATTAGCGGATGCTCCGGTTGGTGTGGAACGGGGTGCGTCGGCAGGCTCCTCTCATCTCCCGAGCAGTGCGGGCCGTCCTGTTTTCGATTTGGGTAAACTGCTGCCACCGAAATGCAGCTCTTGCTTGCTACTAAATCAGCCAAGCAGAACGCCTAACGTGGTAGAATGGAACATCATGCCTACTTTCGGGGCTGTGCGTGGGTCTGCATATGCAATGAGTGCATGCATGCAACTTGGGCATCGCTGGGCACATCCTGGCTGGGAGGTTCGCCTTGAACAGTAGCGTGATTATGACCCTTTTCTTTCTTCTTCATTTGCAGAACTGTCTTTCGGTGAGTCCTAAGCCTCTTGAGGTTCGCATATGTACTTATTTAAGAGTAAGGGGATCACGCGTACTGTCAGTCCACGTAGTTAGGTTTGTTACGTCCTGCATGGCTGTCCAACCTCGAGATCAAAACGCCTCGTCTGAGGTAAATGGTTTATAGGCAGTATGTACACTCAAACTCTGCCTATACAGTATGGTAGTCAGAGCCGTTTGAACAAAGCACTGGCGCAGATTGTTGGAGATGGCAATTTTGCAATCCATGGGGTTGGTACTCTCAACTTCTAGAGGTGCTTCCCTTTCATGATATACTGACAAACACCCAGTACGTTGATAACCAATGGTACTTTCAAACCGCGAGATTACTGAGTTCCGTGAGTCATAACTGAATAGCTAAGTCGGGGTTGAGACGTTCTAAGTAATAATCATTGTGCATTAGGCCGAAATCGCAACGGTGAAGCTCAAGATGAGAGGCCATACAAGTAGAAGAAGATAAGGGCAGAACATAGCGACCTGTGATCAATGTAGACGATCATCGTAGAGCTAGCGTTCCAGATCGCCGCTCATTATTTTGTGTCATACTATCTATTATTACATGCATCGTCGAGCCTGTAGCTCACTATATCTCTTAGCATCAAATTGAAAGTAGAATCCCACAAAGCCCGTGACATCAGTGATGCTGTACTGACTAGGGGTTTCATGTAATCTGCCAGTGTATACATTTCACGTTTGAGAGCAACGGGCATAGCAAGGCGCCTTACGAGGAGAGTCATTGCAACATACGGGATAAAGTGTGCCCTAATAGCACCTTGAAAGATTTGAAATGAGAGTACCAAATATGCCAATAGTAGGTTTATCTTGAAGAAAATCCGTGACCAATGTGTTCAATCTCATCGAAAGCAAACACCGGTTGCAACCACTTAGAATGTAGGGGGACTTCCTGAGCCTGCTCAAGGAACTGATAAGTCCCCTTCCACATATCATTACACGGCTCTTGAGCCAAAATTTGTGTGGCTTCAGCAGTTTCGTTTAATCTCTTCGGCCGTAAGATGATACGGCGTGGTGACACTGTAGAAGTTATTGCGCATCTGCTCACTATTAGGATTCGCCTACGAGGAATTGAGATCAGACCGTGGGCGTACCTCTACAGTGTAATAGTCGTCAAACTTCCGGTCAAGGAAGCTCTCCAGTTTGGCCGGATTTACAAAGCGTCCTGGGATTTTTGCTGTAAAGCGAGCTCCCGACCAGGATTGGTAGGATGTCGGAGTAGACCTCATTGACGATGATGATGAGTATGCTCTCGGGCTGGGCATGATATCAGAATCGACTTTAATCGTTCTTGACTGCTGGGGATGAGTATTACTTGAGCGGCAGCCCCCTGGGAGAGGTGGAATTGCCGGGTATAAGCACTACTTATAGGATGCAGAATCTGTAGCCTGATGTATCTCTTTGAAACTCGCCGAGAATGTGCGAAGACGCGCGGGGCGAACCACAATAAAAGGCAACTTCATGCATCAGAAGGCAACCAGGCAACCCGCTAAGCCACCCCCAACCAATGTGCGCATTCGCCCTTTGCAGGCTATCACCTGCCGCCCAAAGATATGCCAGGGTAAGACTTGGCACATCGAGTCGATCCCAGCAATGCCTCGACAACGTATCATTAGTACCGGTGGGAAGAATGCCTCGCCGGACTCCCATGCGCTGATAAAAGTGACCAGAATCCGAAGATTTCGGGGACTGATACGTGTGTCATGTTATCAGTACCCTCCACCCATTGAGCGGCCACCTAGGACTCGACAACATCCTTGTCCAAGCCCTTTTACCTCTTGTTCGTCATTTACCGCATACAAGCACGCCTAGGCCAAAACGTTGAGTCAGAGTCACCTGTCTACAACACATGCTCCTCCCATCTTAGCAATCGGTGCCTGTCGCACCTAACAGTCATCGCGGGTATTACCCAATCATCCACGACCCCTTGACAAAGGTATGCCAGGATGTCTCAATTCGATTTTGGACGAGTAAGTCGGCTGCCAAATCATCTAGCACTACATACCTTAAGATACTATGGAACTAATATGATGATCAAAGGAGTTTCTCGATGACTTCCACCCGGAGAGAAGCTTGGAATTCTACCCCGAAGGCCGTCGTCCCCCAAATGTCGTCCGTGAACAATCAGATGTTTCGATTACGACAAAGTCTAATAATTACAACTACGGCATAGATCTAGTCGAAGAATACAACGCTGCACTCTCCTATTTACAGCCAGATACTATGTTTCCTGGCTTTGTGGGCGGTGCATTTGAGCCACACGATGAGCCGAGCAATACCGAAGCAGATCTACAGCTAGAGAACGAAATCGGAATGGGGGCAGCAGAAGCCATGTGTGAACAGATCCACGAAGCTATGCAGTCCACCGGGCCTACGCACTCGAGACCATGGCTCCCCTCTGGTGACTTGCACGCTATCAGCCACCGGAATCGTGTCAAAGCTGTACTTCGACAACACTTCTCCGAGCCAACGTTGGCCAGGCTTACTGACTATGTCTGCGGCACTGAAATGGGCACACACAAGGGAGGGGACACAAGTCAAAGGATCTTCGTCATCGTGATTCTAATCCGCAGAATTGAGACGTTGCCAGCGCTCATGAAGGATGGTTTACGTGATCGTGACCTACCTTTCGAGTGGCTCAACCCTGCGTCCCGGGACCAACTCATCAGTCCCAAGTCTCAATTTGCGAACAAGGCTCTTCCGTGCTTTGAAAGAAGAGGAAAAGGATTACTGAGAGAGTTCTATGAAAACCAGTGGAAGATACTTGCTCCTATTATTGATCGCGACAAACACGGAGAAGTGACGACCTTTCACTTGGCTGAAGAGGTCATCATGCCCTGGACTTTCATTGGGGATGAGAGAAAGGAGGGAAGTTTCTCTATGGTTCGCAAAGTTGAGATACATCAAGATCATCATTCTTTTGTGAGTATTTGCCCCCCACTGTTTGCAGCCCTCGCAATGAGTTCAGACTTGACTAATCTGAATCAATTGCAGCACAATCACAAAGCATTCGCACTGAAAACCCTGCTCCAAACAGACCCTGATCAAGCAGAAGATGAATTCGAGCAAGAGCTCAAGGCCTTTACCAAAATGGAACCTGGAGATCACATCCTTGATCTTTGCGCTACCTTCAAGATTGGAGACAAGTACTCTTTCTTGTTTCCCTGGGCAGAAGGGGGCAACCTGAAGCACTTTTGGAATAAGTGCCCTACGCAGGTACAAAAGGACACCCGTCAACCTGACGTACTTCTACATTGGATCGCCGAGCAATGCCACGCGCTGGCAGCGGCTCTACAAAGCATCCATGAGGTTCGTGTGAAGGCACTGAAGCGAGCAAATCGGATATCCGACAATGAAGACACTGACAGAGACATTTATGGGATCCACGGCGACATCAAGCCTGAGAACATCTTGTTGTTCAATCACCTGGATAAACCACTGGGCATCGGCACTTTAAAGATTGCCGACTTCGGCCTCACGGAGTTTCACAGGCTCACATCGCGAACGCGGTCGTTCAATCACGGTTCCGACGCCAGACAGCCCGCACCTACCTACGAAGCGCCTGAGCTTGTGCAGCTTGGGGAAGTGTATTCCAGGAAGGCCGATGTGTGGGCCCTTGGCTGCGTCTTCTCCGAGTTCTTGACTTGGGTGGTTCGTGGGCACTTGGCTGTGGGGGAGTTTGGACAAGCCCGTGCTATGGAAAGAGATTGGGATGATTCTAAGAAGCGGTTCAGGTGGGCAGAAGACAAGTTCTTTGTGGCAACTTATCATGACGGCGGAGTTCCCGGAGCGGTCCGAACTTCTTTGAAACTTGCCGTGGACAATGTAAGTTTTGTTTCTTCTTTCGTTCATCTGATACCCATAATATCAAGAGGCTTTAACTATTTTGTCAAGACCCGCTGACCGAGATCGTTGTAGTGGCTTGATGAACTCCATCAAGAATCAAAGACCGAGGAAGCAAACTTTCTCACAGACTTCCTAGACCTACTTAGGCATGAGGTCCTCGTATGCGAGAGAGACAACAGGATCAGCTGCGAAAGGTTGGTAATGGAACTGGAAAAATTCGCTTCTAGGGCCGGTAAAAGCCGGTCAGATGATCCATACTGGAAACCCCCACTACCATCATTTCGACAAGATTCTCCGAAACGAGGAGAGGCTTCGAACGGCAGTACTGAACGGCGGGTGGCCTTCGCCCATCAATCTTCAGCCAGCTCGGACAGCTGGATATACGTCGATGATAACAGTGTAAGATCTGGTACAACACAGTAGCTACTGTGGAATATGGAAGAAGGTTGGGTATGGTTTATTGGGCTCGAATTACAACAATCAGGTCCTACGTATGCTGATTCCGCCAGCGACACCGGAATCTGTGGCCCTTTCACTCGTTATACGTAGTTCAAGTATAAGCATATATGTAAATATAATTAGACATAGTACATTATCGTTATTGGAAAGTTTTAAAGCATTCCTCTAAAGCGTCCCCTGCAGCATTCCTGTTCTTTGTTTCATTGATATACTCTAGGTTGACTTGCTATTATTTGCTATGTAGAAGTACAAATTCATTAAGGATGGGAATCCCAACTTTTACGTGCCCAGGAGCGGGGGTTCCAAAGACAATAATAGAATTACTATGTATTAAGCCATCACAGGTCCTTCTTCAAGTCGTGTTCCTGTTGTTCTCATCGTCAGCAAGTAAGAACCCTGGAGGGACATTGTAGTGGCCTGGAGCTTGCGTTGATTCAACAACGAAGGAGGGCCAAAAAGACTTACAGGCTTATGATCCGTCTCGTAGTCAACGTGAACGAATGCTCTCTCTACTCCAGGCAACTTTTCAATCTTGATCTGGAGAGCCTCAGCGACATCATGGGCAACTTCAAGTCTCTCATAACGGTCCATGACAACGTCAATCTCAACGATGTATCGCGGCCCGCTGTGGTATGCGCGGACTGTGTCAATCTGCTTGACTTCGGGCGAATGAGTCATAGCTAACATATGACTCTGTCAGTTCTTATCCTCACAACTTGTTGACTAGGAGCTGAGATCAGCTTACCGATATAAGTGATGAGTTGCAAGAACTCAGGCTCAGCAGACACCCCAATCAACAACTGAAACTCCTCGTACGCAGTTCTCAACCACAACCCCGCAATCAAGAACGACAACAGAATGGCGCCCATGGGATCGATCCACCACTTAATCTTGCTACCAGCCGAGAAGGTAAAAATACCGAATCCGTTGATGAAGAGATCGTTACGGTGGTCGCGCCAGAGAATCTCAACCTGGGAGTAGATATCCTTGATCGACCAGCAGTACAACCACAAACAGAATTTCGTCCCAAAGGCGATGGCGACGGCAATGACGGAAGTAAAGTGGAACTCATTCGTCTCCTCCTCCGACCCAGCAGCCAAGTCCCGGGCCGACATAACAATCAGCACCAGCGAGACGGAGAACATGATGAATGAGAAGACGATATTTCCTGCGGTAGAGATGCGGGACTTGCCAGAGGGGTACTTTTGCGTATCAACCTTTTTCACCGCGCGGTGAGAAAGCAGTAGCAGGACACCCGACAGCGGATCAAAGACGGAGTCAGCCATGGTGGTGAACAACGACAGCGAGCCCGATGTTATCGCAGCATAAAGCTGCAGCGCCGAGAGAATAACATTGGCCGCCAGGCTACCCTTCACAGCGATCTGGTACTTGAGGTTGTTATCACCCTGCGTCTCTTTTGCCTCGCGCTCGTGGTCGTCTACGCTCTTGAGATAGGAGCGGATCTTGTCATTCTGAGCGCGGTAAAAGTCTTGGAGCTTTGCGTCTTTGGCGCCGCCTCGGGTGAAGCTGTGGTGGATGAAGCGTCTGCGGGTAGTGTTGCTGCTGTTGTTTCGCGGCTTGTTTGTGTTGTAGGCAGATGTGAGTTGGACTATATCGGCGTCGGATTTGATGTGTGTGCCAAGGTTGTAGGGGTCGTTGATCTCTGAGGAGGAGAAGGAGCGGGATTCTGGGTCGTTGCTGGGGGAGAGGTTGGCGAGATCGATGCCTGTGCTCGGGGCACGGTGGGTTGTGGTAGTGGTTGTAGACATTATGAGATGAATTATCTTGATGAACGAGAGCTCTAATCTATCACCAACAGCCTTCGATGCTGCGTAACGTGAGCTGAACTATGAGAGTTGTCCTGGAATATCAAAAAGATTTACGACGAGGATGTGGGATAATAAGGTAGGGAAAGTTGAGGCGGGCAAGCTCGTAAGGGAGGGAAAGTCCAGTCGGGCCCGACCAGGGAGGCAACCGACACTAGGGCAACTTTTGACGAAAGCGAAATGAGTGAGGGATATTTGAAGCGAGGTGACGGCGCATCATTCGTGTAAACATCCCCTCGTGCGCCGCTTCATGGCGCTAGACAGGGATGAGCTTGGGGCAAAATCGGTTAGCTACGCAAGATGATCTCGACGAGCTACCTGACTTGGTATGGCCTGGCGGCAAACTTTTGCCGCTGCGCCTTGGGGATGACGGGATGCTTGTTTGCTGACATTTGCTGGCCGTTGATTGCCACAACGTTCGTTGCCAAGATGATCTGCCTGTACGTTGTTAATTGTGTATGGGTGGACGACAAGCGCGAAGAGAAATATGGGTGGGAAGAGAGGCTATGCCGGAGACCAGCGTAATGACGCAGTCTCAGACTGATGGATAAGTTTTCAAGTCTGACTGACTGACTGCTAGCTACTGACAACTTTTGACTCCTTCAGTAAGGACTGGGACAAGCTTCGACCGCATATGCCAAAGCTCTTGGTTCATCGGTGGCCTCACAACGCCGCCAGAGCTACTTCCCCGCCCGATGATTTCACGAAGCACTCGATACTCGGTCTACTTTGCGACATCTCTGTTCAATGTCTATGCTCGGCTCTACAGCAAGTATCCCGCCTGCCGCTCATTCCAACCCAAGCCCAAGGCTAAAGCCGATTCCCATTCCTTCCGAACGCCAGGCCAATTCCTAGAGAACATTAAACCATGTCCTAATGCAAGTCGTTTATAGTAGTCACCATGTGACACTATGCTAATCCACCTCGAAAGCCCAAAACCAAATCCTAGGAAACGTGTCATAATACTGGTCGGGAGTCCATGCAAACTTCAAATGGGCGAAGCATGTCCGTTGGCGGCGCCGTTCGTCGGAGGACCATTGGCTCTGGATGCTACGGTAAGCATCTGCTTGAACCTCGGTCCCAGCGCTTGAATAACCGCCTGCACATCCGGCGCTTCGGGCAAAGAAGACAGATTCATGTCGCGGACGGCGGCAATGATCTCGCCAGCATCACTTGACGCAGAACCCCGCTTGCCCTGCGTCGGTGCCAACCCCTTGACATCTTTGCCCAACCGCACCGGACCGACAGGCCTCACGGGCGTAATCAGGGTATCATCCATCAAGTTCTGCCACCGCACCAAGTAGACACCCGGGCCAGCCATGCTCGTCGAGTTGCCCTCAATGATGGTCTGCATTCGCGTCAGGGACAGCTGTTCCAGGTCCCGTAGGTACGCAGCGTGGGCGTCGATAATGGGAAGGAGGGCCGCTCTGCTATTATCGGGAACCTGGTTGAAGATGTCACCTAGCTGCTCCTCGATGCTCGCGCCGCCATTCTTAGTCTTGTGGAACGCAACCAGGGAGTCCTTTGCCCACGCCCTGAACTGGTCCATGACTTCTGGGCATTTGCCGCCCACAGCGTGCAGCCACTTGTACAAGAGATGCTTATTGTCCTTGCACAGCTTGACGTAGTCCTCCACAGTGGGCATGGTCTCCGTGTCATCCTTGCTCTTTCCTTTCTTTGGTTTGCTGCAGGCGATCAACTGGTCGAGGAACATGTGGTAGTCCCTGACATGGTCCGAGAGGTCGACTTTATTGTGTACGGCGCGGATGATGGGATCCATCCCGGCTACTGCCTCACGGACCGCCTGGGTGAGGTAGTCTGGGCTCTGCCTGCAGAGGATGCTGATGATTTCTTCCCGATCGCGCATAGCCAGCAGTGCTGCATAGTATTCCAGGCACATTGTGTGCTCGTCCTCGCTGAGGTCGGAAAGCAGGATGGGGTTCGCGGTTTCGAGGATGACGGCGATAATGGACTTGTCCTGTTGCGCGCTCATGGCTCTAATGACTTCGCGCTCGGTAGGAGGGGACTGAGTGTGGGCCTTGATGGCGTCTAGAGCGCCTTTACTTGGCCTATTCTTGTCTTTGGCGATTCTGTCAATCGTCTTCTTGAAATCTGCGCAGTCCCAGCCGAGGATAACGGAGATGATCCTGCAGTCATGTCAGTCTTCCTATGTCGCTCAAGGCAGTGTGCTATTCTCGGCTTGAGGTAAAGAAAACGAACCTCTGCATAAGATTCATGCCATCTGCAGCATCCTTTGTTATGCCAAACCAGTTCGAAACCGAACCAACACTGAGCTTGGCCAGAAAGATCTTCATCATGCCAGCAATCATCGTCGCAGCATTGCCGACCTTGAGTGTCTGCCGTACCATGTTGTATGGCACCATCTTGTGGACCTGCTCCATAAGCTTGACGAGGTACTGGCCCTCGGGTGAGACAACCAGAACTTGGTGGGCAAGTCCAGCCAGGCTGTAAGCCCGTGTTAGTCAGTCTGATCTCTTCAAGCCGCCTTCGCATAGAGCAATACTCACTGGACAATGATGTACTCGTTCGCCGCCTGGGTCATTGGAGAGTGTGATTCGAAGTCGTCCGTCTCGGCAAGGTGGTCAAGCAAGCTGTCGCAGAGGTCCCCGTAAACGAGGTCATGCATAGCATCATCCCAGGCCTGCGCCAGGTCTTCCGCCCTGTTCAAGTCATACTGCTTAAGTCGCGTCGAGGGGTCGCTGTAGGGTCCGCCACCAATCATACCACGGGCGACGGTCTCGATGACGGTAGACGAGGCGGTCGCAAGGGTCTTTCTAGTACCCAGCGCGCCCTTCTCGTAGCTCTCGGACAGCTCGGCCTCGGCGAAATTCTTGAGGATGCCCTGGACCCGGACGTTCCAAAACTCGGGAACAAAGGAGGAGACGCCCGGTAGCTTCAGGATGAATCTGGTGAACAGGGATTGTAGGAGTGGCGCTGAGGATTCTGGGGCGTAGGTGACGGCCTCGCCGGGCTTGGAGCTCTGCGCAAAAGGGTAGCCATAGTCGGAAATGGTTTCTGGCTTCTTGAAGTCTTCGATCTCGTGGTATGTCTCGAAATGGGTGAGGATGTTGAACAGGGCCTTCGTCTGCTCAGCAGTGAGGCCTGAGGGCTGTTGGGTCGCCATGATAGGTGTTCACGATGACGATACGCCGAGGGCCGTTAAGTGCTGGAGATTCCTCTGCCAGTCGCTTTCTCTTGAACGGTGTCGATATCGTGGCGAGCTGTAGCAGAGACTATTGGTATGTTGGGAATATTTGGTCCGTATTTGGTCCGCAATCCAGGTCTGCGATGTGAATTATTTTGTAGGCAAGAGCCGGGTAGACGTAGCTCCCAGCTGAGGCGAAAAGGATGTTGCGTTTCTGGAAGGTCCCCGCGATTGTGTTCGGTCACCGGTGCTCCGGTCGAATTGTGGATCACGGGTACGTGACGTCACGAGACTTTACAGTATGTCACTGGTTTGTTTTCCTTAGAATTTGTGCAGAGGTAGGGAAGGCGCGGGGAATATTCACCACTTAAAGAATTTAGCAATGCCCTCTTTCATACGTCGATTCTCTGAATAGAAACAGTGAACAGACCGCGGGAGTCGCCGTGTCAAGTGTCAGTGTCTCCAGCGTCTCTGCCCTGCGCCTGTCGGCTTTGTCTGGGCGACCCTCCTTTCTTATTCGGCAATCTGCAGCACCTTGCATCAGTGCAGATTCCCAGATCTGACTTGACTCTTTTCAAGCATCTGATTTTACCAATACTGCATTACCTCCTTCCACGGCTCTATTCCTATTGTCATGTACTGTCATGTATGGCATGTGCGCTAGTGGTCTTCCCGAGGCATAGCAGAGCATATGCGGGCTCAGCTCAGCCCACATCAGCTTCCCATTACTTGCATGTATCAAGCAAAGTACGTGTCATTCAATGCCTTCTCACACAAGTTTCGTCCGTTATCTGAAATGATTGGATGCCTCATCACATCCAGCTCCCTTGGACTGTAGAAAACTACTGCCCTTGGTCGGGGAAACTGGCCTATTGTGGCTGAGTAAACTCACTGGGGCTAAGCTTATTCTGCAGGGCGCATGGTCGAAGCTATTCCGCATCTTCAGCATCAAGCTCAACGGACGACGCATTCTCATCTTTCCGAACATGCTAGATAATCTCGATCTACACCACGTTCAGCCATAAAGTCGGGTTTGCCTTCGTGCACTCATGGGCTCAATCTCACGTTGATGTTTACTCACTTCAGAAGAAATCTTCACCTCGTATTCGGTCTCCCGGCCGGCATCTTCCCCCGGCATGAAATGCGACCCTCAAAGACCCCCGCAACCGAATGCGCCGGGTTTCAATCCTGTCATGGCAAAAGTCAATGTTTTTGCCCCCCCCCCCCCCACCAGGAACGCGTCCGAGGGCCAGTCGAGTCAAAGCACGAGCTCAGTGCCCAAACAGGTAATCACACCAGTACCAACTTTTGGTCCTCAATGATTACCGTGATGGCCAGTCTTGAATGGCTTGATGATGTGTGTCCAGACCCGAAGAATCGAGTACAGTATCGTCATCGATGGAGACACTCACTCAAATGGCGACATGATATCTTCTAGTAAAATACACTGGCCTGTTGGTTAATAGATATGCCTGACTGGTTCAAGAGGACAGCCCGTGGTAGTTTCAATAATAGCTACTACTGGAGATCGCCACATCCTCCGCACTACTCTAAGAGATGATAATCATCCATTTGGAATCGACAGTCGGACTCGCAATCGGACGGTACTGGATCCGATGGCTATTCGCCTTCAGTATGTCGCAATCCGTCAGATTGCCAGACTCCGCATCTTTCAAGATCGGGCCGCGTCTGACTGAAGCTGCCAAATGGATCCGAGGGCGCATCAGTTGAGGTCAAAGCAACAGGGCCGGATCCGACTTCACGGTGATCTAAGCATTCGGATACTCCTGTTGTCTGAGATGTCTGAGATATCTCAAAGACCATGATATTTCGTGGTCTTTTTTTGATGAGGAAGCAATTACCATCGATTGCGTAGTCAATCACAACCTGAGGCTCTGCATCTAAAACCAGCAAAGGTCACTCATCTCACTCGGCGTGAGTTCATGAAATATGAATGAGAATGACCCGTGAAGCGCCTCTTCACAAATGAGGCACAATCAATTCGAGCAGCTCCGGGTGCAGCGGAACCAATCAACCCCGGATCAGACGGTCCCTACCGATCATCTCCCCACGGGGTCAAGATCCATCTGCCCGGGTTCACTCGGGAAACGGTCGGCCGAAAGCCTACTTGACGGTGGACTCGGCTCCTGTTGGCCCGAGTCAAAAATCGCCCATCTTCTTCCCACGAATGAGGAGTGCTTCATCAAACGCTATTCAATCGCTTTCCCACTCGTGCGCAAATTAAGCAACGGCCCGTCAGTATTCATCTAGCTTAGCGGTCCCGCCGTTGTGTCTTTTGCCTCCAAATGACCCCTGGATTACGCGGGGAAATGCCCAGCTTAGAGGCCTGTCAGTTCAGTCTGGTGCGGGGAGACATGATGGCATCCCTGGCACCCTTGATGGCGCTGGGTGCCGAGATCCGCTGTCAATGACACCTTCGCCTTGAGAAGAAGATGAATAAAAAGGAAGCTGTGCCTTTGTGAGCTTGCTTAGCGAAACAGCTAGAAAGACCTCGCGCCTGTCTTTACCAGCATCACCATCTTGATCTGAACGAAAATAAGTTGACGATGAAGTTTTCTACAGTTTCCCTCCTCCTGGGAGCTGGTTCGGCGCTCGCGGCACCCACGGAGCGCTCCGAAGTCGACGACCAACAAGTACTCTGGCTTGCTGGCGACAGCACGATGGCACCGGGCGGTGGACACAACGGCACCCAGGGTTGGGGAGAGTACCTGCACTACTCCCTCGATTCATCAAAGATTCGGGTCAACAACTCTGCTTACGCTGGAAGAAGCGCGCGCACCTTTACAAGAGAGGGCCGGTTCCAGCGGATTATTGATGAGGTGAAGGCTGGTGACTGGGTTGTGATTGAGTTTGGCCACAACGATGGACGTACGTATCTGAATTGCATCGGTTCTACCTGCCCAAACATGAACTCCTCTGACAGGATTCTAGCTGGCAACCCGATCAACGATACAGTCAAGAACCGAGTTGACTGTCCCGGTATTGGAGACAATGTCTGTCCTGTGCTATTCAAGTACGTCCATGGATCTCTAAGACGCCCGTACCTCTCCCGAATGACGACGATCTAACTTTCTTTAGCAACCAAACGGAAGTAGTACAGACATACACCACCTACCTCCGTAACGCCTCCTCCACCTTCCTCTCCCTCGGCGCCCGCGTAGTCATCTCTACCTCGACCCCCATAAACCCCTACTCGACCGGTATCTTCTCGTGGGCGCCGACCATCTACGCGTGGTACTCGTGGTACGTCGTCGAATCCCTCGGCGGACCCGCGGCCGGCATCTACTACGTTCCGCACGGCAACTACAGCGCCCAGGCCCTTCAGGTGCAGGGTCAGCAGGCGGCTGTCGAGGGCTACCCCATGGACGCGGTACACATGTCGCCGAAGCTGGCGGACTCGTTTGCTGGGGCTTTTGTGTTGGGGCTCAAGTGCGGGACGTCACCGCTGCAGGAATATGTTGTTAATGCGACGTCGAGACTGGAGGGTAATAGACTGGGAACTTGCCTCCAGGTTAATGCCACGCTGCCCATTTAATACCCCTTTGAACCCTTGGATAGAAAGCTTATATTGTAACTTAGTTCTCAATACTCGAGTAGTGTCAAACTGTAATAGACTACATCAATTGTTGGTGTAAGTTGAATGGCCAAAAACCGAATGGCTGGATTGAATAGAAAACCCGGATCTATCAAGTCACAATATAGACTGGCCCAGTACCGCAAAAGATACAGTAAATCACTTGTAAGAAGTATCATTTTGCACGTATCATTGGCTGCATGACTTGGAAACGTAGACGGTAGATTGTGGGTCTACAAGTTCACGTCTGATTGACTTCGTGGAGGAAGTTGGATTCTAGGTGCGCAAAAAAGTGATACTAAACTTGGAATGTAATAGTCCGCGCGGTTGCCAAGAAGTTGAGAAAAGCATTTTCAGAAGCCGTACGTAAGTCTACTTACCGTTGCAACCTGTTTCCGCTACTGAGATGGAGCAAAGCCATCCTCAGAGTCGGAACTAAACTCCTTATCGCCGAAGATGTCAGGGCCATTGACAGTAGGCTCAAGGTGGTAGGCGCTCTGGCAACTAGAGCAGCAAACCAGCTGAGTGCGGCAGTCGCGCTGGATGGTTTGGCATCTGATGCCGTTCTTGTAAGACGGGCAGTAGACAAAGTCGGACTGGGATGAGCTGATGGTGCGGCCGCACTGGCGGCACTTGGTGACGTTGAGGATGTAGTTGCACATGATTGCGATGTAAAGTACGTCGTGAATTTGTTAGTACGAGTGGTGATGTTGCTTCGAGCTGCTGGTGTCAGATGAAGAGTGTCCTGTGGAGCGTTGAGTTGAAGCTGAGAGTGATGCGTTGAGATGATGAGTTGAGAATGAGTTGCAGGAAGCTTCTAGGGCCAGTCCATGGAGGCACTTTTATCATTTTCAGTCGGGAATTTGACGCTGCCTGTCGTCTTTCATCAGCACTCAGAGGTGCGAAGAAGTCTTGTTCCATCGATTAGACTGATACCTTAGACTAAGTCATTGTCAACTGCTCTTTGTGAAAGAGGACAGTGTCCTAGAGCACATAAGCCGAATCAATCTTTTAGAGTTGTCACCTTCAAATCTTTCCTAAAAACCTCTTGAGGACACTTTCTTTGTCCTCAGGTCAAAGAAAACGACAAAGGGTTCCTTCACCTCAGAAAAGGTGACCAGACCAATCGGACTTTTCAATTGGGCCAAGGTTCCTATCAGCTTAGAAAATGTCCGCACTGGATGGTTTAATACACACAGTATTATGTCCTAAGATTGAAGGGACTGTGTCTGACATTTCTATCCCGAGAGCTTCGCAAATAACTGCCTCGACTTGGTCAAATGTTTGTGGTCTCGAGGAGGAGCGTTTGCTCTGTGTGAATGACATTTGTGGGACACAAACATCGCCAAGACTTGCTTTCTCCGAACTGGGCCTCGCACGCGCATCTTCAATGTAACATCATTTGCAGCCAGACAGACCATCGGGCTGGGTTTGCCAAAAGGGACTTTTCGTTGGCCAAACACCGAAAATTCGCATGGTTATTGTGCTGACGTGGGATGCCTCGTTGCACTAGAAGAGGGGCTTTCCGCGGGGGAGTTTCGTTTCATTTGCTGGATTTGCTTCTTACCCTTGAGCAGATCAATAATGACCATCGAAGCGAACACATTGTGGTCCCTCGGACAATCGGGGTGCGGAGACCATGTCCGTAGTAGTGCGCTGCCGTTGGGACTAGACAAACATGTAATCTTTTAGCTCTGTTGGAACCAGATTCCGTCACATCAGATAACGAATGCGGCTTTGCTTTAAATTGACAGTGGCCGCTCGCTGTTGGAAGTTTTTTTCGTTCCAACTTCTTTCCCTTGTGCGCACCGCTATTCAAAACTATTCCAACACTTGCACTTTTACTCGGGCATTAGTCAAACTGTACCAATGGGCTCTCTTGAGAACAAGACGTCTGTAGACAAGATGGAGTATGACACAAAAGAGAAGCTCGCTGCCTTAAGCGTCATCGAGTGAGTATTAAGCGCAATCGAAGTGTCTAAAGTCTGAAACAAGGTCGACTGACTCCTCGTCAAAGTCCAGAGATCGCAGAGGTTGGTTGGATCTTGTTGGCATGAAACAAACCTGGCCACTAATCATACTCCAGTACCTGGCAGGTGAGCATCCCTTGCCAGAGTCAGCTCCCCCGGCCCCAGACACGGAATTCGAGTACTCCATCCAAATCCCAATGCGCGATGGTGGCCGTGAACAAGAAGCCCGCGTCCACAAGCCCTCCACGTCAACAGGCGCAAAGTCCCCAGTCATCGTTCTCATCTATGGAGGCGCCTTCACAATGGGTGACTGTCGCCAGATGAGCCCCTGGGCCAGGATTGCCGGGAATCTCTACAACGCCACTGTCATCAACCTCTCCTACCGTCTGGCACCTACGCACCCTTTCCCCGCGGCCCCCAATGATGTTGAAGATGGGCTCAAGTGGGTTTCTGAGAATGCGCACACATTAGGCGGCGACTTGAGTGCAGGGTTCATTATCGGAGGTCCATCCGCCGGCGCGAACCTGGCAGCCGTCATGGCACAGAAGACAGTTGATGGCACCACGAAGCTCGGGGCCCCTCTCACCGGCGTCTGGCTCCTGGCACCGCTTTTCCTCGAGGACGACATAGTGCCCCCAGAGTACAAGGATATCTTCCTCGCAAGAGAGCAGAATGCCGAGGCCCCAATCTTCAGTAAAGTAGCCTGGGGTTATCTTGCAGCCAATTACAAGGCAGACATCAAATCAGTGGATTATTCGCCTTTCAACTCGAAGAATCCTCACGTCGGAATGCCACCGACAGTTGTGCAAGTTGGAGGTCTAGACTTCCTCAGGGACGACGGGCTTGTTTACGAGAAAGCTCTCAGAGCACACGGGGTTGAAACCCGGCTAGATGTGTATCCCGGCGCTCCACACGGACATTTTATATTCCCTGGTGTCAAGTCCGCGTTCAAGGCGAACATTGATATCTTCAAAGGCCTCGGATGGCTTCTCAAGCAGGAGGCTTCGGAGGATGAGATCAAGAAGGCGGTTGTTGCGGATCCTTTCATGACTGTTCCGGAGAAATCATCAACGGCCTATGACGCCGTATTCCGATGACCATAGAAACTTTAGAATACCGTTACACACAGTATCTTACAACTCTTGTTTGGCACCCCGTAACTCTTTGTGGCTAAATCTCTACTGAGGAGCATGATCAAGAGAGCGATGATGTCAGCTGGTAAGATTGTTTCATGATTCTCATTACTATCATTAATTTGTATCGGAGTAGCAATACTCCAGGTATCGTTAAGAGGCCATTGCTCTCGTTCAAAGACATTAGTACACAGTTGTCAGCAATTGCTCGCTTCGTGTGACTATCTTTTTCCACGCAACGCTTTTGGCGCCTGTTCTCGACTAAAAGTCTTGATCATAGCGCTCTTCCATAAAATTCCCGCTCATCCCTGGAAAGAGTTAGAACAAACATTGACGACGAATCGGGCCAACATACCTCACCTCATCTGTTCCTGGCTATGGCCATCGTGATCAATCCGATCATCGTTACTATTAATATGATCATCGTCTGACCCTCCTTGGCTTTCTTCATCCACGCTCCGAGCTCGCACAATTCCTTCGAGCTTGAAGTCTGGTATGTCCACCAAGAGACAGCTTCCGCTCCGTGGAAGATCCCGGGCGTCGTCCAAACTGGTCTCTTCCGTCGTCAATAGAGTGCCTTTCCCTGTTGTAGAGGTAACTGCGCTCCGGTACGTGTTGAGCTCCATGTTGTTTGAGTTTTCGTTGCTATTATCGTGGTTGACCTTGTTATCGTAGCCAAGGGTAGATGCCTTTTCCTTGATGAAGACTCGCAAGACTGGGATGGATGACCCAATTATTGCGGTGGCCGTTTCCACGGCGGTCCAGATAGTTACGTCTTTTCCGTTGACTTGTGTAAAAATGTTAGAAAGTTGACAAAAGCAAGATGCAAGAGCAACTGGTCAACTCACAAAAGAAATCACCTTGCTCCAGTTGTACGAGATATACGCCCTTGATAATGGCGCATACGCCTGCCCTGTTTTGAGAAGTCAGCATGAGGTGATCTAGCACCGCGGCTTGATATCCTAGACATACAACCAGCCTAGGCTCATTGCGAAGCAAACGCCTAGCTTTTCATGTTTCCTCAACCGCATTCCCCAGATGAGCTTCCACGGGATGATTGCCAACACAAAGTCCATGAAAGCGCACCAAGCCGCGTTGAAGATGCCGTAGTTGAGCGTCACAGACTCATCCCAGCAGGTCCCTGGCATCTGTCTGTTGAAGTTCTTCTGCACCGGGGTGCACTTCAGCCATGTCAAGGTTGCACTGGGAAGCATGACCACCGTCAATGTCACAACGGCGAACCAGACAAACAACCTGAACCAGCCGGTCGTGAGCCGCAGGAGAGTTACTCCAAACCCAACTTTGCTACCAGTTGAAGCAAAGCACGATATCGATGCGCCTACTGAAGTATACATGGCAATCGTCAACAGATTGGTCTGAGGAGTGATGTCGTAATAGTGACGCCCGAAACCTAAGTTGACGCCCATTTGAGTGATGATCGATTCGACAAAGAGACAAGTCTATAAGTCACCGTCAGTCCAGTTATCAGACACACAGATACCTCGTTGAAAGTTCCATATACGTACCCATGAGAAAAGAAAGATATAGTCATCCCACCAGAGCTTCTGTCCCCTACTTAACTTCGCGTAGACTCGCAACGCCAGGAAGGCGCCACAGAAGAAGCAGAGGAACCATGTGATACCCGCTATCAGAGGACCGTTGCTCTCGATGGGAGCCATCGTAGCCGCATTTGGATGAGAAGTATGATGGCCTCGAACTCGAGCAAGTCGAGTTGGAAGCTGGTCGTTGGAGGGTATGGTGAGAATTCTGCCCAGGAGAGGCCAAGGCCTGGAACCGAATCGCCGGGACCCTTTATTGGTTGGTCGGCGGAAGTGCCGCTGCAAAGGGATGGTCAGACATTGATCGTCACTAGTTCAGCTTTTGACGATTGAGGGATGGGGAAGTCGGGGTGAGATTGGATAGGTCTCAGCGAGGTGTGTAATGCTAGCGTGGATGCGATGTAACGTACACATACCTAAGCCATTCACTGCGCTGCAAACTCTTTGGAATACTTCAGCGTATATGACTCGAGCCATGACGTGGTAAAAGAGGTTGGAGACTGTTCGCGGGTGCATTCGTTCTAAATATCGAAACAAACTGGGCAAGCAGAGTCTCTCTTCTGTGTAGTGCGGGATGCAAAAGCCGGAGGCGCGCCTTGCCCCCAGCCGCCACGGGCAAACCTCCTTGTTTAAGGTTCTTCTTGAGGCGCACGGTGGCGGGTTATGAACATATCCTCCTCGAGCTGAGGCGGAAGTCGTTGCTTTTCCGCCTTCTGGAGGATACCTTCATCGTAGCGAACGGGGAGACCGTTGTCGGGGTTATCCAATTGGGGAGGCACATATCAGACGACCCTCGGGCGGTCCTCGGTGATAGTGCTGAAATGGGTCAATCCAAACATTGTTCCAGACCACAGGGCAAGGGTGGAAGATTCGGGGGACGAGCCGATGGCGGGAAACACTCTCTATTTTGCCTAGAGCTTAATCAGAGTTGGGATGTGAGAGGCTCTTGTCATTGGGTAGTGAGACCTATGCAGTCAGGCGAAGCTCCAGCTTGGTAGGGGCTCCTGATGATTCAGGGTGGGCCAGTGGAAAGTGAGTCAATTTTACGAGAGCAAATCACATAACAAGTCTTGCTCTATGAAACGTAGAAGTACTTCAAGCGTTGTATGTGGCGTCGGGCTTGATTTCGCCATTACTTGTATCGATGTATTCCCCAAATTCCCCTTTAAACCCCTCTTGCCAAGATCATCTGAGCCAAGAATGCATTTGAATCGGCCTCGATTGTCAGCGTTAACCGAAGTTCGATTTGATCGCAACCTCAACACGAAGTTCGGTATAAATCAAACTTTCTAGCGAACTGCGTCTCCAACACTAGTGAGATTGGGCCGAATACACTTACCACTCATTTACTTCCATGAGAATTCGAGACGCACACTTACTTGCTGTGAGGAGAAAACCCAAATAGTGCTCGGACACAGATCTGCGTCAGCTAATGCGACATTTGTGCAGAGAATCAGATGCTGTCTCGAATGTGAGCAATCATCTTCTTGGTACGGAAAGGTGTTCTCTTGGCAACATCTCAAACTGCTTCAAACTCGTCGTTGACGTCGAAGTTTAAAAGGACCATTGCAGCCTTACCAAACTTGCTCCCTACAACACGGTATTGTTATGTGATGACTTACGCGATCAGGCGGGGGTTTGGCCTCCGCATGAGCTTGAGGCGTCAGACTTCGTCTAGACCCTGCCAAATCTAGACTTCGAGATAAACAAGATGGCCAAGACGGGCATAATATCTGCTTGTGGATTTCCCGCCACAACCTTATTGACGATTAGGTAGATGAATCAGAATAGTAGAGTCAGATATGTTGGATGAGTGGTCTAGACGCCGGCTATTGGAATGGCAAGTCTAGCATGAAGACATATGCTTTCTATTGAGACTTCACTACAATTTGTCTAGTATCTTCGGCACCCGCTCGTTGAAACTTTGAGGGGATAATCGAACTATTCCCTAGTCATGGCACATAGTATTCGGGGTACATTTCTCACGATGTTCACAACAATCCGACGCTGTTTTCTGGCATCTCGTATCATAATGGTCGATCAGAAGCGCTGTCGAGACCCTGGTAGCTTTCGCGTCGGAAAGAATAGTTGAGTTGCACCATTCACGAACGATAAAATATCCCAAACCCTGCAGCCCCTTAAAATGCTCAGCTCTGAGGCATCATACACATACTCGTTGTCTTCCGGAGTGAGAGGAAGTCAGTGGTTGAGCGGGGCGTCGGAAGACGGTACGGTCCGTTCAACGGAACCAGGGCCGTGAGTTGAGCCACTTTTTCAAGGCTATTAGGATGTGGATAAGGAAGACGTAAAGCTCCCCAGGTTGTGTCCGTCACAAGAACGCGGATTTAGGAGCTGCAGATTAGCAGTTGTAGTCATGTGCAACCCACCTAGCTCAACCTAGATGAGTGAAAATTGGAAATATCTACATTTGAGTCAAAGGCTGGATAATCCATTATCCGATATCTTGCTTTTTCTATCAACTTCAACCGCCATTCACGGGTTGAGACTTTGAGGTCGACGACGACTAAACGGAAACGGAAGCATTCTGCGGCAAGTGGGGGCTTCGGGGCATGGCTCCGAGGCCATAACACTGGCGCTCGCGGCCGGACTCGAAAGTTTGACCGTGATTTTGCTGTACCCTCAAATCGGAGTAGCCTACCCGTCGCTCTGATCTGAATTTGTGAGCTACGCTGAGTGTGTTTGACGGTTGAACTAGTGAGACGGACGGAAAACTTCTAGCGCTGCCGCCGCAGCTAACGCAGGTGATGGCACCCCCTAGTTGCTTCCAGTGACGTGGTCAGACGCGTGGAAGACTTTGCGCCAGTCGAGCCTATCAGTCCAACGGTCTTGACATAGGATGGCAGATGTGAGGTTCGACCTTAGAGCTGCTAGTTTCGGTATTTCATCAATAGTTCAGTTGGACCCCAGGGGCATGCAGATGCCTCTCGAATTCAGTGAAGGCATAGGGGAACTGTTTGAATGAGACGCCTCTGCGGCCGTAGTCGGTTATTTCGGTGTTTCGATCCTTCGCTTTTCATGAGCATGCAAAGTTAGCGGGCCTTGAGTATGAGACCTCTTGCTGCACGTTGAGGCGGGGAAAGAAGCCCAAGTGATTAAATATCAAGTCAAGCTCATGGCAACGTGTCCAGACCTGCGGAAAGCCCTTCTTCATCTGGTCCCATGCGCAGTGTCTCGCAGTCAAGACAAGAGATCCTGCAGGCCTCTCAGCTTCCCCAACTGACGCTGTCGAATGTGGTAGATCTGGGATAGCCGCCCCTGGAAGTGCTCGAAGGATCTCACACTAGCCATGCGCCTTACGAGGGAAGCGTCCTCCGATTCGTAGCAAACTTGGGCGTAGTAGGTAGGGGTCAACATGCACATGTGTTTCAAGTCGGACCCTGATTG